ACTTTTGAATTGTTTACTGTTGTTGTGTCAGTCTGAGTTGAAGTAGCATATGAGCTTGATTTTCTTATCTGGAGATGATTTTACTGATAATTAGTCAAATTTCGAGTTATATGCATTATTTTTGTTGATTAAATTAAGAGATTTTGCCTCGCTTGTCTTTTGCTTTGACAACAGTCTATTCACAAAGCCAGCCGATTAGCTCATAGATTCTCCGCTAAACTTATGTGACGAAGTTGTTGTTATTTCTGTCATTTTCCTTTTGTTCCCATATGGTTTAGGAGAAACCGGAGATGTATTTATGCTTGTTTTCTTACTGAATCATCGTCTTACGTTTTCATCGGAATACAATATGCTTGTTTTGTTGTCCGTTTCATAGAACTTTGGTTGAATCTTTCTTTGTTCAATAATACAGGCACGCAGTCGGCGCGAATATGGCGGGTATTTCGACAACTTCGCGCGATTTTATAGTTGCTACGAAGTACAAACTTATCCGTAAAATTGGCTCGGGTTCGTTTGGAGATATTTATCTTGCGATAAACATCACTAATGGTGAAGAAGTTGCAGTAAAAATGGAGTCAAATAAAGTTAGCTTTTTGTTGGGTGGTTGCTTGCGTTGTAGACGTAATGTGACTGTTATGAAAACTGATTTTGCTTCTTGGAAAATAGTAGTGTCGTCAAATTCCTTTGTATCGTATGGGATTGTAGTCTCTGTTATTTAAACTTTAGTCTGTAGGGTAGTCACGTTTAATTATTTTTAGGCACGTCATCCGCAACTTCTTTATGAAAGTAAGGTTTACAAGATATTGCAAGGAGGTGTCGGGATTCCACATATTCGTTGGTAAGTTTTTCGTACGAGGCGAGGGTGGTTAAAAAGGAGATGCGCTTTGAGATTAAAATTAAAATTGTCTCGTTGTTACTTTACCGAAGCTTTTGTGCTTTTTTCGTATTGAGTTTTTGATTTTATTTTTGTAGTTACTTTTTACTTGTGCTTGATTTCTATCTACTGGTCACGGTCAGCATTTTTTAGGTACGGCACAGAACGGGAATATAATGTATTAGTAATGGATCTTCTTGGACCATCGTTAGAGGACTTATTCAATTTTTGCAGCAGAAGGTTTACGATGAAAACCGTTTTAATGCTTGCTGATCAGATGATAGGTCGTATTGAGTACGTGCACGTCAAGAATTTCATTCACAGGGACATCAAAGTCATTGAATTTTCTTTTATTACATAGGTTTAAGTGGTTACAGTTGAATTCTAAATTGACATGTGGGATCTTCCATGTTTGGAAATTGCTCTTTATCGTTGCTGACTGTCTTCATTTGTTCGGATCTTAAAGAAAATTTTTATTCTGAATAATGTACTTTGTTTTGGAATTTGGCTTTTTGGGTGTGGCTTTTTAGAAGCTAGTATTTATTTTTTTTACCATACTTTTTTTTTTCCAGCCAGACAATTTTATGATGGGGATTGGTCGACATTGCAATAAGCTCTTCTTAATTGATTTTGGACTGGCTAAGAAGTATCGTGATTCAAGAACGCGAGCACACATTCCGTATCGAGAAGATAAGGTTATCACTCTTTTATTTCTATTTTTGTTGGGACCATATTTTAAATTTTTTGTGCAGTTTTTATTGACGTTTGTTAGTTTATTTTACAGTCCTGTAGTATTTAGGAGCCAGTAAATTACTTTGCTTTTGTATTTTTTGTGGGGGTTGAGGATTGGATACATATGGGAGTTGATTCGCTTGCATCAATATGTAATAAAGTAAAATTATCAAATTAAGTGATGGTTTATTTGCAGGTGAGGTTTGAGGGAACAGTTTTTGTTAAGAAGTTTTTTTCCAAAAATTCAATTTGAAAGAGAACTGAAAAAAATTTTTCATATCGTTGAGAAGAAATAGGATAGTTTTAAGACCTGTTTGAACAAAAATCAAATTTTAAATTTACTTGACGTTACTGATCTTGCTTACCTTTTCACCGTTTTCTTACTCATCTAAGTCTTTTCAGTTAAGTTGTGCTTCAGATTTGGAGCGTGGTGATGTTTGAAAAAGTTTACTTTATTTATGCTAATTCTATTTAGAATTTGACAGGGACTGCACGATATGCGTCTATCAATGCTCATTTGGGTATCGAGCAATCTAGGAGAGATGATATGGAGTCTTTAGGATACGTTTTAATGTATTTCAATAGGTGGTTTTTTTTAAAGTGCTTTTTTCACTTACAGTGAAAGTAGATTTTTTGCGTCAATTTCGTATTTTTTTACTTTTTTCTTTTAGTATTTGACAGAAGTTTAGGGGTACGCTTCCCTGGCAAGGCCTTAAAGCAGCAACGAAGAAACAAAAGTATGAAAAAATTAGTGAGAAGAAGATGTCAACACCTGTAGAGGTAAAGTCTTATTAGGAATAAGGTTTTGAACTTTTCGGTTCTGTTATGTTTTTAAAGTAGTAGTTTGATGACATTTTTAAATTTTTACTACGTATTATCGAGCAACTTTTTAAAATTTATTTGGCTAAAAAAGTAAGGCGCATTCACCTCGAAAAAGCAGTTTTGCTAAAACAGTTTCGAGTTCCATAGAAGAACGATGAATTAGCGCGTATTATTGTTCGCAAGAAACTTGTATGTGCGTCTTTCTTATAAGCGTGTGTTAGAGTTTGGTAATACCAGGAACGTTTTTTTTTTTTTCTTTCAGATTTTCACTTCATATTTCAGGTATTATGTAAAGGTTTTCCGGCTGAATTTGCCATGTATTTGAATTACTGTCGTGGTCTGCGTTTTGATGAAGCTCCAGATTATATGTATCTTCGACAGCTGTTTCGCATTTTGTTTAGGACATTGAATCATCAGGTACTTTCTGTAAAAATGTTAAAGGTTTCCCTTATCTGTTTTCCATTATTTTACATCTGTAGCTGATTATTATTCCCGTGTTTTTCTGTAGAAGAAAGATGTAAATGACTTCTAATATTTATGGCATACTTCGTCTTTTACTAGCTCCAAATTGGATTTATTGTTGAGTAGTCGTTGGTTGTAGCCTAGCGGTATTTGAGACGTTTACTAGTTAGGTGTAATTTAATCACTCTGTTTTCAGTATGATTATACTTTTGACTGGACAATGCTGAAGCAAAAAGCCTCTCAAAATACTGCTGCAGCTCTTGCCTTGGCGGGATCTGGACAAGGTGGACCTCAGTCTGGTACTGCTCCCGGCGTTTGATTTGAAAACACTTTTGCATCTCTTCTGTTAATTGTGATTAGCTCTTGGGCCTCATGTATGCATATTGTGTTCTCTTATTGCTGTGCTGTATTTGCCGAATGCATGAGGTAATCTTACATCGCTAAATACGTGGAGCTCATTGCGGTTTTCTTCCAGTTTTTCCATAACGTTCATCTCGTAGTGGACATGTTTTGATCATGTACTTTATTGTCCCCAAAATTACGCTTTAAATCTTAGTTTACGGAATTTTTTACTGGTTTCTAACGATTGATCAGGTTATGAGTTAGTTTTAATTACATTGGTTCTACTACCACATATCTTGAGATTTTTATAAAACTCTTGTTTTTGTGAAGTTTTTTCTCAAGAAATCGCTAGTTAGAATGAGGGCCAAATCTGGAGTTTGTATAGAACACAGTGTTTGTAAATTACTTTTAACTTCTTAATATGTCGTTTGTTGTTTTACCTCTCGTGCTCTTCTGTTAGGCACAGAGTGCTGTCGAATAAATCTGTTTTTAAGATGGGGTTTGTTGAGAGAATTTTGCAAGAACATTATTTTGGCTTTGGGAAGTACGGTTTAAAATAAGCGACTTTTAGAGGTAATAATTGTTAAATTTCTGTCGCGATAGTCTCTGCTTGCAATTTGCTTGATTGTAAGGACTTTGTGGTTTCCAATTTTCTTCTTTACTAGAGGTTTATTGCGTGTTTTGTATGGTTCTGTCACATCATTGGCAGGTTTGTACTTGATTTTTCAAATCAATTGTTGTCCAATTTGCACTTCACATTTCGTACAGTCAGAAAGTATTTTTTTTTTTTTTCTTGTGTTTGTGTGCAGTCAACTTCAACTAAATGTATGGATTTTTCGGCGAGTTATTTCTTCGTGTCCGATTCAAGTAAACATGTTCATCTAGCAGGCGTCGCTGCAGCAGTTGATTTTTTTATTTCTATTTTTTTGCACTATTTTGTTCAGAGGTTTGTTCTGTAGGGTTTAAATTTGAGCTCCTTGCTCTCAAGTGGCAGGCTGAATTATTTTATGCTTTTTTAGCGAAGGACTTGCCGAAGAGCTACAGAAAAGGTGCGTGAAAAGGAAGTGATTACTACAGGTGGTTACTAGTTTATCCGTCGTACAAAAGTTTGATTTTCAAATTTCTTGTAGCTACTAGCCGTTTTGTGCTACAGGGGAAGCTAGCCTTAATTTTTTTTCAAATTAAGTTGTTTATGTTTTTCTTTTTATTGCACAGGATTTTAACTGCAATGATGCTTTGTTAATTTATTTTTACCTTATTTGCCCTTTTTTTTTT